TCGCTGCCTGCACTGTATCGTTACCCGGTTCCCAACCGGGACGTTGCCTCCTGGCAAGAGCGAAGGGCAGGCACCTCGGCCCGCTCTCCCGGTGGCTGCAGCACCGCTCCTGCCCACAGCCGGCAGCTCTCCTTTCCCGCTGTTGCCACATCATCAGCCCCCCTGGCAGAGACAGTGAATTAGAGGTCCACCAGAATGTGCTAGCGCGGTTCGTTGTGCAGAGTGCCTATAACTTATCTGTACTCTGTTTTGATACGAAGATTTCAATTAAAAATAAAAAAAATCTTTATTTCTAGACTTAAAAGTTTAAAACCTCAACAAGTAAAATCACTGCAGTTAGTCTTAGGTTAAGTATTGCACGTGGTTGAGCTTTGAGCATTGAGCATCTTTGAGCATTCCTTCCAAAGACACTCAGCAGGGTTGTTCTAGCTCTGGCTGATAATCATAGAATCATGGAATGGTTTGGATTGGAAGGCACCTTAAAGCTCATCCAGTTCCAACCCCCCTGCCATCAGCAGGGACACCTTCCACTAGACCAGGTTGCTCAAAGCCTCGTCCAGCCTGGCCTTAAACACTCCCAGGGAGGGGGCATCTACAACCTAAGTTACCCAAGGACAATCTTGAAGTCCTTGGATATACTTGTCCTGCTCAAGGATTCTTCTTCCTGTGAAATTTTTAAAATAATTATTTTAAATGTGTACAGCCATAGCAATTAGATCTTTTTCAGGCTTGTGTAAATAATCCATTCATTTCTACTCTTTCATTTTTGGTAAATGTTAAGTTTATTTAAAAAAAAAAAAATACGCTTTTGTATATGTATTTTAAAAGTTCTCAGCCCAGCCTCCACGTGCTCTAAACGGGAAACAGACAGAACTTTGTCCTGGGGCCAATATTTGTGTTAATCGTATCTGCCCAGTGTTTGAATGTATGAGGCATGGCTGCATAAAAGCAGAGGCAATGAACTCTCAGATTGTGCTTGTCTTGGAGCTGTGCTGTAGCTCAGGTTTCTTTTCTGACTAGTGTTGTGGTTCTGTTGAGCATATGGGTATAGTAATAGATGATATTGACATAAAAAAAACTTTATGTTTTAAAAATTGAATGAAAAGAGCAAAAAACCCTTTTTCAGTACCTGTGAAAGTGTAGTGTTCTGATACCAGCATATGGAAAGGACATGCTAATCAGTTATTCAACTTATTAGTCTTAGAAGAAACAGCTCTTATTAATTAATTTCCTGGCAATAGGAGTGTTTTTATTTTCACATTAGTAATGACAAAATCAAATTAAAATATTTTCATATATTGACATGTTCAAAAATTAAACAATAGCTTTTAAGGTGAGTTGGTTGCCCTCTGTGAATTTAAGCATTGCTGTGAGAATGCTAAACTGTCATCCAGCTGTAAACTTTTTGATTCTGGAGTTAGTGGTATATAAATGAGTAGTTCAGAGAGGTAGTAGAGAAGGAAAAAGGCTGAAAGATCAACACAGACAATCACTTGAATGTGAGGGTTTTGCAGCTGAGGGTTCAAAACACTATTTGACAGATTGTTAAGAAATTCTTCAAACATTGGTTTGAAAATTGTACCACAATGTCAGTTTTCTGTTGATTGACTTTCTTGTATTTGCCTGTTGTTTTGGTAGGTTCAGGTTTGCTGGTTGCAGCTCAAGATGCTACAGAAGATGAGGAAGGTGTGGAAGATACTGTAGTTGAAGATGAAGATGATGAAGCTGAAGTTGAAGAAGATGAGCCAACAGACTTGGTAATTGTACATTAATGTTACTTTATGAATTAGACCAAAAGTGCTTGAAGCTGGGTAGTTTAAATACATTTAAATACAAGTTTGTAGCATTGCTATTTCCAAATCACTGTTTCCAAGTCTCCCATTAAACTAATGTTCAGTTTGAAGTTTCAGAAGGATTTATCTTTTCTCCCTGAATTAGCAGCTGAAAAACCACATGAGGACAGCCTGATTTCTGACTACCAGAACTGCAGCCCACAAAGAAAGAACACCAAGTGAGAGAACTAGATTATCATAGGAGCCCCTTGTAGTTCTTTTCCAGCTTAAGCTGCATCTCAGTAAACTGAGAAGGACATTGGGGTATGTGACTGCTTCATTCTGGCTTCTTTGGTATTGATTTTCAAGGGGCAGCAGAATCTCAGTTCTTAGTTAAGCTCAGTATTAATTCTGAAAACCTTGTTTGGCAGCCTGTTTTCCCTTGCTACATTCCTAGTCTCTGACACTTGTTGCAGGGCATGCCTGTTACACCAGTGCCCATATCACTGTTCAGGATCACTTTCTTCAGCTTGACAAAGTGAAATATTTTGTGTAGTTATGTGATCCCCTTAGAGTAGTAGAGCATTAGGCTTGGTGAACACTTGGTGTGCTTAAATTAGTACAAAAACTTCTCAAATTTCTCATGTAGACCCAGAAAGTTTAGGACATTGTTAGGGGGAGAAGACATGCATAATAAAAATGGAGACCTGATAAACTGTTCTTTAATTCTATTAGATTTTTACTAATGTTGGTAAGTTGGTGACCTGAGAGTTGACCAGCTTTACTAGGTGTAGAAGGTACGCTAGGTGTTCAGTACTGACAGAGTATTATTAAATAACCTTTTGGATGCAATTTGCTTTTAATAAGTAGTCTATGACTTGAGCACAAAACGTTAGACATTTTAGGCAGTTTCTTTTATTTGTCACTGAAATAGAAGATAGAGTTTTGCATAGCACCTTAAAATCAAGGTGCTGGGTGCTCAGCTCTGGTTCCTGGCTTCCCTAGCTCGTGGTCCATGTACGACTGATCCACAGGCTAACAACTGCTTCAAGTGGTTATTTAAGCAGAGCAATCAAATGATCTAACTAACTGACAAGCAGTTAGTTCAGACACTTCAAAATGGGCTCAGCATTGGTTTTATTTAGTGGGGGAAGTGGTGATCCCTTGTTCCCCATGTGGAAAATAAGCCCTTCATGCTTGTATTTGCCAGGTTAAAAAGTGAATCATCACAAAGGTGAGCTTGAACAAGTGAATCCACAAACTTCCTTAGTTCCAACAGTCTAACCGTTTTCAGGCAGATATAACAACTAATTAAAACTGAATAGAAAGCTTCTATAAACACTCCCTCTGTAGTGAAGGTGGCTCTCGTTTGCCTTTTGGTTGCCTATGATTTCAGAAATGTTTTTTCTCTAAATAGAAATAGCTTCATTGTGAACACTTAACATTTAGATTCTATTCTTTTCCTTCCGACCTCCAAACAGAGACCTTACTGCTGCTTTCTGATTATAAACCTTCCAATACAGCTAAATACAGTTCAGATTAGACACTGTGTCAGATGTAACAAATAGAAGGATAAGTGCTGAAAGTGGTGCTAATGAAATCTAGAGGGAGGACAGGCTATGTGCTAATCCTGCAGCAGCAAGATACCAATGCTCGCTGTCGTTGCATGCTTTGACACGTGGGATTCTCATGGAACATGCATGGTCTTTGCTTCACTCTGTTATAGGATTTTTTTTTCAAAAAAGTCTCTTGTCTTAGACAGAAGAAAAAGAGGAAGAAGACTTGTCAGGAGAACCTAAAGCCTCACCTAGTGCTGATACCACCATCTTATTTGTGAAAGGTGAAGGTAAGAGTCCTGTACTAATAACCGTCTTCTTTATTATTGCTTAGACTATATCAATGTGTGCATAAAACAGTGAAGCTCTAAAATAAACTATAACCTGTTCTAGACAGTCTCTGTTTAGAAACAGGCTGGATGTGTAGCATGAAGTTTCTAATGGTTGATTATTTTTTGTGTTTTAGACTTTCCAGCGAACAACATTGTAAAATTTCTGGTGGGCTTCACCAATAAGGGTACAGAAGATTTCATTGTGGAGTCTCTCGATGCTTCTTTCCGGTATCCTCAAGACTACCAGTTTTATATCCAGAACTTCACAGCTCTCCCTCTGAATACAGTAGTCCCACCACAGAGACAAGCCACGTTTGAGTACTCTTTCATCCCTGCTGAGCCTATGGGTGGTCGTCCTTTCGGACTAGTTATCAATCTCAACTACAGAGATGTAAACGTAAGCCTGATGGTGTAGTTCATTTTAAACTTCCTAGTTGATGTGGAAATATCAGGAAGGAACTGATTAGTCAAGTTACTCCCTCTTCAGAAACTGAATGCTTTTGTGGTTTTTAAGGAAATCAGTAGATACATAAGCACAGTAAGTGACTGCCCACATGTTTCACAATAGCATCCCATGTATACTTAGTTCTGTATATGTTAGAGTTAAAGTTATGTCAGCACTGGAATCTAGAATACCTTAGAACTGTGTAGTAGTGGGCTGTACTCATTTTTAATAAAAAAAAGAACCCAATAAACTAAAGCATTTAAATTTCAGTGTGCTTTTCAGATTGGGCTTTGCTGACAAACCTAACTGTCAACCTGAATCCCACCTGCAAGCTTGACTTTGAGCAAATAGATGGCCAATACTTGCAATCTGGGGAAAAAATATCCAAAAGCATAAATGGGGATTAAAATAGGGAATTATTTTCTCTTTTAGTGTAGGTCAAAGTTTAACAGCCTTCTGTACATTTGTGTTTTAATTGTTCTAGTAAGAACCCTTCGTATGTAATATCTCATGTCACAGGAAATAACACATTGGAAGGCTAGATGTGACTTTCTTGCTAATATCAAGACTGTTCTCTATACTTGCACCAAAAAGTTTGTGCTTTCATGTGTTTAGTCAAACTTGCACTGCTTATAAACTTAATCAAGTCTTGTGCAGGAGTTATGGCTTTCTAGAGTTTTTTCCAAGAACATGGAAAAAGAAACATTTGTGTATTTGTTCAAGAAATTAATTTAAAATGTTATGTGGAAACTTTGTTGCAGGGCAATGTGTTTCAAGATGCTGTCTTCAATCAAACTGTTACGATTATTGAAAAAGAAGATGGGCTGGATGGAGAAACGTAAGGAGGCTGGAGATGCAAGTTTAGTTGGTATACTGGTAGAACAGGTTGATGGTGCCCATAAGAATAGTTCTTATGTCCTCATTTTATTGAATGTGAGGGTCTGGTGTGTTATGCTGATGGTGTAGCAGGCATTTGACTTGTACAATGTTGATAGACTGAAAATATAAACTTTTTTCCCAAAATTAAGATCTCTATTAATGCTAGGGATCTTCAGGATTGGTACTATGTCAATGAGCAGTTTACACATCTGCTTTGGCTCAGAGGGCTTAAGCCTGGAGTAGGACCTGATGTTACACAGCTACATAGCAATTCAAAGCTGTTAAGCTTTTGTTACGCTACTGTGCTTTTTCCTAAGAGTTAAAGATACAGAGAGTCCATAGTATTGGGCTGTGGGTCCTCCTGTGAAGACTGGAATAACTTGGTTCTGGAGCACTCCAGTATAATCCAAGATTACATAAACCAAAAGAGGCATTTGGAGTATGAGATAGAGGAACTAGCACTCGTTCTTTATTGCAATAACACCTACCTGTAGCAGGTACCTTTCAGGAGTGGGGTTTTTTTTCAGTCTTAAAGACTAAGTATATCTGACACACCTTATATGTTGCAAAGATGCTGTGCTGATATGCTTTTAAACATTCTAACACTGGAGTGAAATTTTAAGAGAACCTCTGAGTTAAAAAAAATCTTCATAAATACTGGTAGAGAACAATGCTGAATTTTTGGATTCTCCTTCCACAGGTGTAAATCACCTGCTGAGCAAGCTTCCTTTTTAAAAAAGGTCAACCAAAAGAAATAGCTGTTGCATTAATTCATATTTCACAAATAGAATAGCTTTCATCAATGAAAGAAAGATTGGTCATGGGAAAATGTATGATACTCTGATAAAGGAGCTCTCAAAAGAATTCAAATTATTAGAACCAGTTTGAGTTAGTGTCCTGTGAATAATTAGCCTAAAACAGGGATGCTCCATTAAATCTCTTCTGTAGTTTAACTCTCTAATTTCCTTTGTCATAAATCTGGGTTAAGATGTTCAGCTTGGAATAGGTTCTTGCCTGCCCCCCAAATTAATTTATAACAGTTTCAGAGTTTATATGGCATTTTTCAAATGTCGTGTTGTTCAGAATTAAATTTAGGATTACAGTTTCTGAAATCAAATAATTAATATTTGTTAGCACTTCAGTTTCAGACTCATTGTGGTTTTTCCCCACCCACCCCCTACAAAAGTTCTTGGGAAAGATCAAGTGAGCATGTGGCCAAAGTTAGGCTTAGTTTCTATGCCTCTTTGTAAACTCCTTTAAACAGATTTTTAGTTAATGGTTTCTTAAATTGTTTTTTTAAAGGATCTTCATGTACATGTTCCTTGCTGGACTTGGTCTGCTTGTCATTGTTGGCCTACATCAGCTACTAGAATCCAGGAAGGTGGGTAGTGTATTTCGTCTGTGTACTTGTTAATACAAGACCTTACTGATGTGAAAAGAAAGCAATTCAGTAATTGCTTCCAGCATATGATGGTACAGGGAGAACTTTAGAAGATTTACTTTTAGAACTGAGCCCTTAGATGTTACTGTGAATACCAGAGAGTTTTTAAAAAAACTGTTGATAACTGAAGACATTGAGATTGCTTACATAATGCTCTTTGGCACCACGCTGAAGTGGTTGAATTGGGAGCTTTGATACCTTCCAGTCACTGGATGTGTGCAGCTGCTGATTCAATACTTACTGGGTGGGCTTTCCCCTGATCCCTATTTCTTCCTAAACTAGGTCAAACTTTGAGGAAAACAGCTGTCTAGTCCTTCATTTAGTTCTTATCAGTGCTTTGCCATAAGGTTGATTAGGGCCTTCTGGATTCCATTTATAATGCAGTAACAGCTAAGGGTTTGTCCATGTAAGTCATCTGGCAAGTAAAAGCCACTGAAAGCTCAAGTCTCATCTGCATGCAATGGATAGGTTATGTCTTTGTGCAGTCTGGCTTAGGATGGTTTTGAAGTAGCTTCCCTTGGGTAGAAGGATGGAATTATTATAGTGCTTTGAAATCTATTTTGCAAGGTGACATATAAGAATACTGTACTGATCTGAGGAAGTATAACAAAACCAGTCATCGCAAAGCTTGATTAATCATCAGCCATTGTTCATAACAGGTATAATGAACTTGCCCAGGCATGCATGAAATCCCCATATCTTTGTGTAGAGTAAGTATTACAAGGCATTAGAAGTGGTAATGTCAAGCTTAGGTGAATAAATTGCTAATGGTAAAGATAGTTAAAGCTAGGATACAAAGACAGCTTAATACATTGATTAGCCTTAAGTTTGTGTCTTAGTGAAATAATTGCATTCATTAATACAGCATTATTAGTTATTTCTAATACTTGTGTTATTAAAACTTGTGGAAAGAAAAATCTTTTTTCTTTCTTAAATTTTCAGAGGAAAAGACCGGTACAGAAAGTAGAGATGGGAACATCAAATCAGAATGATGTTGATATGAGCTGGATTCCCCAAGAAACTTTAAATCAAATCAGTAAGTGGTCTGCCTTCCACAAACTAGAGCATAACTGACGTGCTTCATCAATTAATTGTAACTGAATAGCTGATACCAGTTTCTCACAACAGCAATACATCACTTCTAGGGAATGAAAAATTGTCTAAAGCGCTGTGCTGAATGATTAGACCATTACGTTAGCAGCCTGTTCTTGCCTGAACAAACTGCTAGTTGATACAATAATGACTATTGGTGACTGCTACAGTTTGTTCTGTAGACTCTTTTTCAACAGTATAAAATCTCTACCCAAGTCCTAGATCACAAAGGAGGCTTCAGTAGAAGAAAAGATTTGTCATCTCAGGGTTTCTAAAAGTTGGTTGGAAAGAGACAAACCAAAGTTTTAAGTAAGCATTAGAAGTGTGTATTAACTAAAGCCACTTTAAGACTTGGTATTAATGTCCTTCACAAGTCCAGAATGACTAAATTCTAGTTGCTAATGCCAACAGTAAACCCAGTATCTGATTTCTTTACACCATTTGTGTGTTTGTGGGTATATCTAACGTCTCTTGCTTTTTCTTCTGTTTTGCTTTCCCATGGCTCCAGTGCAGAGTAGAAGAGGTGAGGCACACTCTGACAGTCTGAAGAGTAGAAGTGTTTAAATGTGTTGTCTGTGATAATTAGGCATGGATAGAAGTACAGCTTCCTGCATGCAGTTATTGGTGATGTAGCATGAGCTGTAAAAGATTACAGAGCAGTTGCACGCAACCACACAAACACATCTTATATACATAGAAATGTATGTTTTTGTATATAATGTGTGTGTATGTACATTTCTGGTTATATTGTAGTGATGTAGTTTCAGCAGAGAATTGCTAAAGTCCTGTTGTCTCCACAAACAGTTCCCAGAACCCTTTACCTAAAATGCAGCTGTGTATCTTGCCTTCCCCCCTGCCTTGGTGCAGTGTCAAGCTGATGTTACCTGAGGGAGGTGGAGGACTGGTCATGACCAATGGCTGAGTGCATCTTGTTTCAATGAGAAACAAACCTCAGCCTTGGGCATAATAGTTCAATAGTCAGGTTTATCTTCCTGGGTCTTGCGTATCCCAGGTGAACTCCTGTCACTGGTAGCATCGATAAGGTGTGAGGTAAGACAGCCTCACTTCAAACAAAGTGCATCCTAGACAAGAGAAGTTCTTTGAAAACCCTTTGCAGGAACTACCTTTACTTGAAAAACACTCCCATTTTTGACAAAAAAAGCATATTCTGAGATTTTTTCAGTGTAGAAGGGGTAGAGACCTTATCTCTGGTATAAGGTTGTGCCAGGAGCTGATAATTTCACTTTTTTGATTCCTTCACTCTTTTTAAACTGTATACTTAAATTACATGGGTATAAGGACTGGTGTTTTACTTCTGAAAATGTCAGCTTTCTCATACACCGTCTTCTGTGAGGCACAAGAATTGTAGTATAAAAATCTAGACACAGGAATTGTAAAAGCTATAATCTAGCAAGAAAGACTGGAGCTCTAAATGCTCTTTCTTTCCAAAGAGCAACGTGTCTTTAAATGGGCTCAAATCCTGGCAGTGTTTGGGCCCTGTCCCCCATCCCTTTCTTAGGGTAAATAAGCATTCATATTTTTATACCTGAAGTCTAGGGAAACCTGATGTTTAAGTTCTTAATTTTGATTTTCTTTTGCTCCAGGTTAGTTTTAATTAGAACTCTACACTAGAATCCTTTGAAATACATGGCCTTCAAGATCCTCATAAGTTCTTGACTATTTTGTTGTTGAAAGACACTTCATACTCTACTGATTGGCTTGTAATGGCATGATGGCTGCTGCTTGTGTTTGCCCATACTGTAAACAGTGATGTTACAGGAGATAGTTTGGTTTAACAGGCATTTTTAAGTTGACAGATACACTCAGCAGTCACTTTAGCACTTCATATGAAGTATTTTAGTTTCTCTATAATATTAAAAGATTGAAATTCTACTTAAGGACCATCATTGTAAAGGACAATTATGAGCCTATCAAAAATCTTAAATGTAGGAAGATGCTTCTGGCATCCACTGATCATGCAGCTAAAGCTGGATGGCTTCCTCGCTTTATCAGGGGATATCTGACATCGTCATAGTCTAACGTGGGTACTTCCTGGAAAAGTGTGTTTTTTCACAACCAAAACAATTTCCTGCTGTTAATCTGTATGAATGTGGAAATACTCAGTACAAGACAGATGTCTAAAGGAGGGTCAGTCACATTCTTCAGGCAGGTAAAATCAAACCCGTAATGATCAAAATAATTCATTAACTTTCTAAAATTGTAATTATTGAACATGAATATTTTCTAGACAGCAGAGCATGCAGTTTCCTCAGGAGATGGTGTGGGGTTTGGTTTTTTGGGGGTTTTGCTTGTTTTGCATTTTAGTAACTGGCAAATTGAACAACCTTCACCCTGGAGCTGCATGTGACAGAATAGGGACACTTTTTTGTTACCTTCTATTTAGGGTGCTGATAGTTAAGCCTTGACAAGTTGTTTGAAGTGGCTTCTCTTTGGCGATGCATTGCACTAGAAGGGCAGTTTGGCTTGTGCTGGGGAGGGAGAAAAATACATGGTCATATAACATCTAATCTGAAGTAGCTGTAGCAATTGATGCTAGCATCTTTTTTTTTTTTTTCCTTTCTCTTTAATCTAGATAAAGCTTCACCGAGGAGGCAGCCCTACAAGAGGGCACAGAAGAGAGCAGTGGGCTCTGATGAGTAAATGTTCCCTAGTGCAACAGTTGAACCTTTACTAATCCTGCCTGTTTGGGGTTTTTTGGATTGGAGTAGTGCAGAGAATCCATATCACCATAAGGAAAATACTGTATACATTTGGACTGAACAGATTAACTGAATGGTGTTAATATTACTGAAAATGCACTTCTCTCTTTTTTTGTTAATTGTTGGGCAGGGGGGTGGGGGGAGGTAGCCATTAAGATTTGTGCCTGCGTGTGTAAGCAGTTGGTCTTAACAGAACCATGTTACCTGAAATGTGCCTTTAGAGTTCTCTGTAATACTGGCTTGTCATCTGTGCATTGTCTTTAAACATTTTTCTCCTCCCCCTGATCTGAATGTCTAATGACTTAAATCTGTCTTGATTGTATCATGTCTGTACCAGAATCTATATGCATTTCTTTTTCAGTAATTTTATTCTCTCCAGTGTGCACACACTGAAGTTGCTGTGTGTGTGTGGTCCTATTTCAGTGGAGAGGCACTGATCATCTAGATTTCTGCATAGTTTGCATTCTAAAGGCACAGTTGGGTATAGCTGCTCATAGTAGTAGATATGTTGCTGCTGTTTTGATCCGGGCATGCAGTGACCTAAAAATCTGAACTTATCTGCATAGATGTTAGGAAGACTCTTACACAGCAGCAGAACTTGTGAAGCATGGAATTTGTGTGCTCAATTGGTATTACTACATAAATTTTTTTTTATACCCAGCTTGTTAAATGGTTAGTTATTGAGTCATGCCAGCAGCTTAGGTATTCTGATTATAGTGGTAGCTCTGCAATGTTTACTCAAGAAATCATTGAACTGAATAAGCCAGAACAATTTTTCAGTAAGTTCTTGGTTCTCTCACAAAAACTGAATGTCATATGTATCAAAACATGGACTTTTCTTAAAGCTTTACATGGGGGGCAAGGACTTTGCATTTACTGTACAGACTTGAAACTGAATTTAAAAAACTTGGCTTCAGATAATCTTTTTAAATGGAAAGCTATTTAATTTACCCTTTGCAGTTTTTAAATCTCAAACTTCTTTCCACTGGTCAGTACATTGGTCTGAGTTTTGGTTTTTTTTTTAAATCACCTTGTCTTCTGTTAAACAGAGATGCATATCGATTAGTGACTACATGTTTGTTCAGTTCTAAAGCAGAAAAGCTATATGCAATCAAAATGGGATTTTCTTTTGTGGCAGGCACACGATCACCAGGGATACACCTGACAGTAAGAGCAGATAAAGCAGAGTGGCACTTCGCTGCCACCCTGGCACTGGGATGAGACTTGAATTGTTTGCGTCTCAACTGCATCTCTTCCTGTGCCTGAAAGTTACCTGGAAGCTTGTTGAGTTTGGGAAGAGGCATTGAGTCCTCTCTTTTCCCATTTTCCTCCCTTCCTGCTCCACACATGAGAGTGCTTTTTTAGATCTACGCCTGCTCTGCAGGGACTGAACTTCTGGGACAGTGAATGCTGAGCAATATTTGCAAGTCATGAAGCACCTGTGCTCTGACACTACCTGTACTGGCACTACTTTACTTTGCCAGAATGAACTGTGAAGATGTTCTTGACTCATCTTGCTAAAATAGGAAAAGCATCCCCAGAGAGGCTTTGTTCAACTTCCTGATAATAGAGCTAGCTCAGGCAGAATATTTTTAATAGTTAAGATTGCTGAATAGTCACACAGATCACTCAGCAAACAGCTGACTGCTGCCTTCATCAGAGGTATCCCTACTCCAACGGTGTGGGACAACTCTGGTTGCTGTTAGTGATGTCATGTGGCTGGTTCTGTGATAGGTTTATGGGCTTATATTCAAGCTTGCATTGATTCAACAAAGTGTTTGTGTTAAATGCTTCGTATGCTCAAGCCCTATAGCTATTGCAGTCCCTGATGTACGGAACTTCTTAGTTCCTTCTCTTGGATTATGTCTCTAACCTGAAATCAAGAGACTTTTTTTTCACCTTCTGGTAAACAGGTGATCTTAAACTGCATACTCTGATTCTTCCTAAGATAGGATAGTACTCTTCCAAGAGGGTGGTGATAAAAGCTGCTCTAGATACAGTGGTACTCCAGAAAAAAAGACAAAGGATCAGAACAGAGGATGCTAATTTGTAATATCTTAGTTTTATTTATTTAGATAATTAGTGATTGAGTTCTGGAGCAAGTTAGGCCTTTTAATCTTACACTGACCAGGACTTAAGAGAAGCTGAAGGACTGAAGCACTGTACAAATACAAAGTGAGTATTTGAACAAGGTTTCAGCTTTCTTCTCTGCACTCAGTGGTCAGCATCCAAAAGCATGAAAGGAGAGAGGAGACAGTTTAGCAACTTGCATAGGAACTAGTGCTGGGGAAGTCCTGTACCAAGACTGTCTTTCTCATCATACAACTTGGCCTTCACTGTGATGGTTCATAGTAACTGTCTCAGCCAGAAGCAGTTCCTAAGAACAGTGGCCAGCAGTCCACTCCTGCTCATGATAAATGACCCAACAGTTTTGAATTCCTTGTTTCCTGGTGGTTTGCTGTAGTTAACATTTAGCAGTAACATTCTAGTGTGTCGTGGTAATTGAACTTTGGCATCTCTTACGTGATTTCTAGTAAATAAGCCAGCCTACTACACCCATTTCTTCAAATGGGAGACCATAGTTGTTGCTTTATCCTGTTGGTTAACAACTTTTATTTTGGTACTTGAATTTTCTACTCAATTTTTAAACACATACGGACAGCTCAGTGTCACAGGTACGTTACTAGCTATCACTGTTATTATCAGCTGAGTAGGGATTGGTTTCATTGACTTTAAGAAGGAACAAGTAGCAATTCTGCCTGTCTCTGTGCCACCCCTTTCCATGTGGTAGCACAAGCATTTGTATCACATGGCATTCTTACCAGCCTGGTTTTCAGCAAGCTTATTACCCTCCCACACAACTGCTTGTGTGAAGTTATGAGGTGCAAGGACTGTGAAAGAAGATGCAGGCTAGAGTTTCTTCCTTACTAGTAAGAGATGCTACAATGGTTTTAGACTGCAAATAAACTATGGCTTTAGTACGAAGGACCACTATTAATTCCTTTCTCACAGCTCCTTAACTAATTCAAAAAGACTTAATGAGTCTATATACTTCAGATAAGAAAAACTGCTTTAGAGATCGTGTTCTACAGTGGTAGCAAAGCATTAATCTGCATTCAATACCTGTAGCCCTCCGTGTGCTGCCTGCTTTGCGACAGCAGTTCATTTTTTCCCAGAATCATTTAGTCTGAGAAAGAAGAGTGGCTGCTGTCAAACTAAAGGGTGAAGTATTGTCGTTGTTCTGATGTACAAAATAATTAAGCTGTAGGCTGTGGGGATGAATGGAGCAGAGTAGCAATGGCAGTGCTTCTCCTTGTTTCAAGAAGTTACACTGAACATCTTCCAGACCTTGGAATGGATATAATCAAAAGCATCGTTCACTGTTAGTTCCTGGAATGCATGGTACCTAGCAAAATGGTGTTGTTGGAAACTCTACATTCAGGGAAACAGCAGGAGGAAGGTCAAATACTAACGTAGGCTGGTTGTCCTGTTTTTCAGTGTGCCTGGTGTACTGAGCAGCAGTTACAAGTCTGTTCTCTGTTATTCTCCAAGGAGGGACAGTACCTACCTCATAGGAATGACATAAGGGCCGTTTCAGGAGTGTTTTGAAGTTACTTGAGACTTGCACAATACACTTCCATGGAGTTAGTAAGACACAGCACAAGTGTAACTAGATGGTAACTACACAGATCCATGTTATACCAGTTTAATCCCCTCACTGAGCAGAAGTTGGCAGCTTTAGACTGAGACTTTTCCTAAATACACAGAGGAATTGCAGGGAACTTACAGAGAAGAGCGAAGCCAGAAGGATCTTTCAGATCCTGCAGGAGTTTATAGGTGAGCTAAATAACATTCTTCTGACATTTTTTCCATTTATCTCTAAGTTTTCCCAAGGGTTTTTTTTTTTTTTTAATCAAGTGATACAGATGATTGTTTGTGTAGATGCAATCAACAGTTTAAGAATGACTGTTTTGGATGATTAAGTTCAGATGATGTACTGCAGCTGAAGTGTTAAATTAACATTTACTTTCTTACCTGCTGACTTTCATTTATAAGTGAGATCAGATCACTTGAAAATGGTTGCAGGTTTTTCGTAAAGTAAACTTGATTTTTTTTTTTGTAGCATTGTGTAGCTTTTTTTTCTTTTTTTTTTTTTAATAAAGCATGAGTATGGCACCAAAAAGCCTGAGTGGTATGCTGGTGCTCTTTTCCTTGTTAAGCAACCTGTAGTAGCAAATATGCAAAGAGTGAAAACATACTATTCCTGAAAATCTGAATTTCCACAAGTGTATTTGGAGTGGGAATAACAGTGAGGAAGTATTCTGTGATGTTTTGGACAATGGCCTAATATTAAGATTAAAATTCCCTATAAGAATAAGGGAGGGCCCGGGGAAAACACTGAGTAAGTTCTTGAATCCTCATCTCTTAGAACTGAGCCATGGTCCCCTACATTTCCAGGGAGAATGACCTGTTGTTAAACTGTAGGCAGCATGGAAAGGATCTGATAAGGTGTATAAAGGCTGCTGAAGCAGAAGGTTATAAAAAGGCCAAATCCTTGGAGTTTTAAAGTGGATGCCGTTGTCTGACCCAGCAAACAATAATATTCCAGACAGTAATAGGGAAAGTAGCAGTTCAGGCAGGTGTCCTGCATCCAAACAGAAGAAGGTGAGACTTGCTGGGGAAGAAGCTAACAAAAGCCAAACAAAAATGGCTTAAAAATAAAGGATGCTGAGACTCTTGTATTTGTAAACTACATCAATGGATAAATAAGTGAAAGCTTAAAAGCTTATGTGTTAAGATGTATTTTTAGCTCCCAGAGAACACAAGAGAGACATGGAGCAGCTAGAACAAGTCCAGAGGAGGCCATGAGGATGATCCAAGGGCTGGAGCACCTCTCCTATGAGGACAGGCTGAGAGTTGGGGCTGTTCAGCCTGGAGAAGAGAAGGCTCCAGGGAGACCTTCTAGTGGCCTTCCAGTACCTGAAGGGGCTACAGGAAAGCTGGGGAATTAATGGCAATTAATGATAGAACAAGGGGCAATGGGTTTAAACTGAAAGAGGGGAAGTTTAGATTAGATATTAGGAAGAAGTTCTTCACTGTGAGGGTGGTGAGACACTGGCCCAGGTTGCCCAGAGAAGCTGTGGCTGCTCCTCCCTGGAAGTGTTCAAGGCCAGGTTGGATGAGGCTTTGAGCAACCTGGTCTAGTGGAAGGTGTCCCTGCTGATGGCAGGGGGGTTGGAACTGGAGGATCTTTAAGGTCCCTTCCAACCCAAACCATTCCAT